ATTAATGCTTTCTCTCACTTGCCATGTGTGAATCGTGCTGTACAAATAAACTGGCCTTGTCATGCCAAACAACTACAATGTATTATTTGATCAATATAATGAAGAAAAGATTTATTTTGTTGAACTGATGTTTAAAGCGTGAGAAATTGACTCCCTGTAATGCCACCTTACATGTTAAACAATATATAGAATTTACATTATAAATGTATAGTAATGTTTCCACCAGGGTTTGTTTCTCTCTGTCTGTCTGTTACCAACATAACTCAAAATATAATGAAATTGTCGGTAAAACGTGACAGATGGTGGCGGTAATCCGGAGCACCGTCTGGTTTCTGGTTTGTTTTACAGTAAGGAATGGAACTGCGCCTCATGACAGTGGTTTGCACGCGTCGCAGTGCTTCTCTAGTTTATTTTATCCCAATAACCATCCTTAGAATTGTTATTATTTTATCTTGACTTTTTCCTATTTTAAGATCAAAACATACTATGCTTATTCCATTGACAAATCTAGTTTTAGGAGGATCAAACAATATGCATTTTATTATTGTGATAGAGATGGGAGAGAGATGAGAGTGCAGATGGGTGTATGCTTTTGTGTAATGGTGGGGTTGGTCCAGTCACGGTGTGGACTTTGTTGTTTTGTTCTTTGGTTTTATTTTCATATCAGTTCTCAGTTGATTTGGTTTTGGTTTTACTTCCTGCCCTGTTATCCCCTGTCTTGATTGTCTGCCCCGCCCTGATGTGTTTGACCACATATAGACCTGTGTCTATATGTGCCCTGTGCTTCTCTCCTCTTGTTGCTGGTCCATTGTAAGTAAGTAAGTAGTAGTAAGTAAGCTTTATTTATATACCGCCTTTCACAGACCAGAGTCACAAAGCGGTTTACAATTGTTATTTTTGGGCACTTGTCCTCTCACTCCACACAGAGATGGGAGCAGGGTCGCCGAACAGGAGGCGCATGCCAGACCTATTGGACATATTTTTAGTGGTAGGGGAAACCGGAGTACCCGGAGGAAACCTACGCAGACACGGGGAGAACATGCAAACTCCACTCAGAAAGGCCCTTGTCCGGCCGGGATTCGAACCAAGGACCTTCTTGCTGAGAGGCGAGAGTGCTATCCACTCAGCCACCGTGCCGCCCAACCTCCGTCCTGTATTGTCTTGTCAAGTTCTGTTCCTGGTTCTTTTGTATTTTTTTGAGATGTTTTCACGTTGGACATTATTTTATTAAATCATTATTTTTGCATTCCTGCGTTTGGGTCCTCCATTCATCTCATCCCACCTCGTGACACTGTGTCCATAAGCATCACCTTCACTGCATTCATCACATGCTACAAGCCTATTTAGATTGAGGTAATGTTGTTGAGCAGATGATTACAAGCAAAGATCATTCGGGAGTCTAAGTTTAACAATTCATTTCATCCATCCATCCATCCATTTTCTACCCTTTAATCCATTTCTGGGTCAGGGGGGTGGCAGTCAGAGATGCCACCCAAGTCTCATAGCACCAGCCCCTCACTGACCCTCTGCAGGTGGTGAGTCCACAGGAGGACGGCTGCTCTCTGAGTGTGAGCATAGCCTTGATCTTTCAGTGGGGGCTTTTGGGCAAAGTGGGGTTAAGTGTCTTGCCCAAGGACACAACGACAGCAGTCATCAGTGGGAGTCGATGGAGAAGGTGCAGAGGTGGGAATTGAACCCACGACCTTCTGGCCTTAAGGCCAATGCTCTACCAACTGAGCTACTGTCGCCAATTCATTTCAATGCTCCCTATATGCATTGCAAGCAAAATGCGCCGATTATTATTTCTCAATCAGACCTTTTGTTTGGGCATATGATTCAAAATGTCTCCATTATCATCTTTGTCTTCTGGGGTTTGATCTCCAGGTTTGTAGCCAAAACTATGAATATCCTTCTAAAAGTGCTGAAAAGTCTTGACGACCGTTAAATGCCCTGCTGGCAGCGTGCCCTCGATCCTCTATAAAAAGCTTCAGCTCGTCCAAAATACAGCAGCACATTACTCCAGTGTTAATCATTCCACTAACTTCCTATGAATTATCCAATTAATAAAGAATAAAGTTTGATGTCCTTCTTTTAAGTAAGTAGTAAGTAATCTTTATTTATATACCACCTTTCATAGACCAGAGTCACAAAGCGGTTTACAGTTGTGGGCATTTATCTCTCACTCCTCACAGAGATGGGAGCGAGGCCAGTACAGGAGGCACATGCCAGAACTATACATGTTTTTAGTGGTAGGGGAAACCTACACATACAAGGGGAGAACATGCAAACTCCACTCAGAAAGGCCTTGTTCCGACCGGGATTCAAAGCTACTTGCTGAGAAGCGAGACTGCCATCCACACAGCCACCATACATACAAACAAAGCTATACATTATAAGGCTTTACATATTTCTCTTTAATTCAGCGTATGTGGGTAAGATTTTGAAATACAACCTTAAGTCAAAAAGCACAGATAACGGCAAGTTTCACGTACAGTATACTTTATCTTTCATCATTATGACTTCAGCTGTAGTCTGTTCATTGGTATTCAACCGCTGTCTCATTGTCTGTTTCATGGTGTGATGATGGGACCCCTGCACCCGGCCTTTCTAATCCGCACCTGTGGACTGGTCGAATTGAACTGATTGAATTGAAAGAGAAGAGGTAAAAGAACACAGCCCTGAGGAACCCCTGAGTGTATCAATAAAACATGCAGGAGAACTTAAAACTTATGTCAAAATAAAATAAAAATGTGTGAAATGTGCATCATTTTGGTAGTTTTGAACATAGACAGTAAATTTGTGTTGTTGATTTTTCATTCAATGTTTTGAATTTTTTTTAATTGAAAACATTTTCTCAGTGGTCTCCTCGTATTTGTCCTTCTCCTTCTCATCAGTGCGAGACTTCAGGATCTTGATCTGGTCTTGATCTTGAACTTTGGCATCAAGATGACAAGTGGTTCTCAGAGTGGGGGGGGGGGGGGGGGGGGGGCGGAACCCAGGCAAGACAGCTAAGTAGGCACAAATTATTTCAAAACAATATTCTAAAAAGTTTGACAATTATTTGACACAAAATCCCATAATTTAAGTCATATTTAAAAATGTAAAAACGGAATGTCCTTGTGATATCTTCATGGTCATTCAGTTTTTCAGATACTGCAATCATATGTAACACAAGGAATGTTTATCAATTCAGTACTTCTTTGAACTATTTTCATTAATACACATTTCAGGGGGCTCTGACTGAAATGTACTGAGGACCCTTCTTTATATCATTTTTACAATTGAAATAATAAGTTAGAAAAACATTTATGTTTGATACAAGAGAAGTGAAATGAAACACAAAGAACAACATGGCAGCCTGAGGTATTCTCAGCGTGACGTCTTTATCCAGAAACCTCTCAGTGGATTGAGTCAAAAACATTTCTGTATGTCAGCCTTAGTTGCCATAGGATGAAAATATATCACATTTAAAAACATAGAAGATGCACTGTAGTTGTCCAAGTTGCTGAAACAAAAAGCAGTATAATAATATTTTCAAGTATTCCATCTCATCTTGCTAACCCGTGTTTTGAATGTTCTTTGTGCCCCAAAGTGCCCCACGAGGAATTTTCCTCCTCAAATGTGTGGTAGAGAACTTGTTTTCTATTGTTATTGCTATAGATCTTTACGTAAAGGTCAAGTAATTTAGCAAATCCCGGTCGGAACAGGGCCTTTCTGAGTGGAGTTCATGTTCTCCCTGTGCCTGCGTAGGTTTCCTCCGGGTGCTCCGGTTTCCCCTACCACTAAAAACATGTACAACATGAATGTAATGAGTGATTGAATGGAGGGTGTTGGGTGGGGTCTTGGATGTGCCAGTGTGTGTTTGGTGTGTGAATGGATAAATATCTGTTGTCTGAACACTGTAAAGCGCTTTGGGTGAACTTGGTGAGCAAAATGCGCTATACTTACAAAGAAGTCTGGTCTGGTTTGGGACCCCCAATATTTCACTGCTGTTGGCTTCATCAAAGCTGTAGGCCTTCAACATGCACTGGGATAGTTTGGGCTCCAAATCTGAGGCCATGGTGCTTGACCGGAAACAGGTGCCCTGCTCTCTCCGGGCGGGGGAAGAGGTCTTTCCTAAAGTGGAGGAGTTCAAGTATCATAGGTTCACAGTGAAGCGGTTTGTTGTGGTGAATAGAAAACTGAGTCAATCTACGTTCTCACCCTATGGTCATGAGCTTTGGGTAACGACCACAAGCACAAGAGCGTGCATACAAGTGATCAAAATGTGTGGCTGCGTGAGGAGCTTGGAGTAGAGCCACTGCTTCTCCATGGCAAGGGGAACCAAGTGAGGTGGGTCGGGCATCCGTGTCAGATGCCTCCTGGAGATGTCCCACCAGGAGACATGGCCGCCGTGTTCTGGGTCTGTGGGAAAGACACATATCCCTGAATGAGCTGAATGTCTCTGCAACGGATAAAGTGGAAGAAAAATGGATGGATGGATGGAAATCCCATCTGGAAATTGTATTGTAAAAATAATCATGAGTAAAGCTGGTGTCTAGTGTCTGATCAACTGTTAGTTTTGGACAATTCCTTCACAGCAGATGCAAATTAGATTTGTTGTAAAGTAAAATCTTTAAGTCAGTGTTATACAATATACATCATTGGAGAGGAGCACACATGTTGACCTTCTATTTCAACAATATAAAGCCTACTATGTCCAATGTCCAAACCATAGACTAGTCCAAACAGAAAACTGGCTGTGCAAAAGTTTGTGAATGATTACCTCACTGATTCACTCAGGAGCCCCTCCCACTTCCTCTCAGCAGCCAATCAGCTTCAAGTATTTAACCGCAAGCACCCATATAGTAGAGCTGGGGCGGCAAGTGTGACAGACCGTAAGAAAGTTCACCCACCTCCACAACTCCCACATTGTCACACAGTGCTTTACAAACAGCCCATTTGGATACCTCCAGCAGCAGCTCTGAGTGTTTTTGGGACCTCCCATCCTTTATTAGAACATGGGAAAACTTATCATGCATATTTTCTGTGTTTGGATAAGTCTAGTTAAAATCATTGGAGTATTTGCCTCGGACCCTACCACAGACGCGTTTGGTGAGTAGTGTTATTTACGTTCTATCACTTTTTACCCTCGCCAATTAAACCACGTGTTTTTTAGTAAAAAAAATCCATCATTTGGTTTGTTGTTGTCACTGAGAATTAGCCAGTGAAAAGGCTTTGACTGCAGGTCTAGTGCAGGTCTCCATTGAAATCCATGTGTGCGTGAAGAAAAGCTGCAACTGGCCCTTTGTGAGCAGAAAAGGGGCGAAGGCGAAATGTATAGACGTAATTTGCATATGAGTTTATATGAGATGTCTTTTTGTGCGTTTTTTATCCTATTTCCACGTTTATATATATCACCCACATTGGCCCAAAAAAAATACATTTTTTTTAAACTGTATTTCTAATCTAATGTATACACTTTCCTTGTTTTCTCATGATTTGCAATGGTTTTACGCTCTCACTGTGGGATTTAGACGTATTTTTTATTAAAGGACAAAAGAGGGCGACACTTCCTTGCTTTATACCGCAGTTAAATATTTTCTCACTGGTTGAAAATTAAACCTAATATAACACTGCGTCTGTGTGCACAATTTGGTCGGGGGAAAAATAACTATTGCTCAATTTCAATAGGCAGTATTACAGTCATGATTATAGTATAGTTAAACATAAACAAAAAAGGGAAAAAAAGACAATGTATTAATTGTATGTATCAGGACGTAGACATCTAATTTGGATTTTGTTTCATTTTAATTATCTATTTTCATTGCTGTGTTGATCTTCATGTTTCCCCCCTCCCCTGTGCATGACCTCAGTAACCAGTATTTTGCCCTAACAATGTGCATATGTGGGTCATAACAGTGAACAGCACCACAGCCCCTCTGCCGACCCCCACTGAATGGATCACAGACTACTCTGACATTGAATCCAAGTTTTCGCTGCGCACGGAGGAGATCCCAGATGAGGACATGTGCTACATAGAACCAGGCAAACCCGAGACCATCAAAGAATGCGAATTCAACAATGAGACCCAGACCTTCATCATCATTCATGGATGGACGGTATGGAACCAAACGCAAATGTTTAATGTCAATGTGGTCTACGCAGCAGTGGCGGCTCTAGAGGTATTTTATATGGGGGGAAATGTGGACCCGTCAAGATTATACAAAGGAGCGAAGACATTTTGAAACAACATAGCCAAATGTACATAATGACAGTGTTATTTACTACTGTTATTTTTAGCACAATTTTAAGGCGTCACTATATGCTTAGACATTTTTAGGGTTTTGAAAAGAATCGCTAATTGTATATTAACCAACACTAACTAATATTGGAACCAAAAACGACACAAAATGTGAGATTTGCAAGTTTTAAAAGATATTGATATCAGAATCTTGTTGTACGATTAATGTTGTATTGTTATTTATGTCCAAACAAAATAGAATAGAATTTTTTGAGCCTCCATGAATCCCCCTTTACACTGCCCCTGGACCACAGCTCTTTTTCTTTTTGATATGAAATAAAAACAATATATATAAAACAAACAATATGAAATAAAAAATATATCGCGGGGGGTGTCTAATATTCTCTATACCCACATTTAAAAGACAATATTTTCCCAGCATATGAACTGACTGACCTGTGTTTCATATCGCCTGCTCTTAGGTCACTGGGATGTATGAAAGCTGGGTTGCCAAGTTGGTGACGGCCTTGTACGAGCGGGAGCCAAGTGCCAATGTAATAGTAGTGGACTGGCTGAACCGTGCCAACCAGCACTACCCCACCTCGGCCGCCCACACCAAACTGGTCGGACGCGATGTGGCTAAATTTGTCACCTGGTTGCAAGTAAGAATATTGCAGGACTTCTACCCAAGCATGCACAGCTGGCGCACACATGTGTCCAAGCCTTTTCAGCTGCAAATACATTCACACGATTCTGCACGTATGCAAACTGTGACAAATCTGCACCTCATGACGCAATTGTCTTCTGATATATGATTTACCGCGTTTTTTTTCCTTTCTTGCGCGATTCGAAATGCCTTGTTATAAACTCTTTATAGCTGTTTTTGCGGTGAACGCCAGATGCTTGCTACAAGAGTTTTTTATGGCTCATGGCAACTTTACTTTACCACAAGTGCTTTCTCACATTTGTTTGGAGTTTGACAATTATACTTGGGGCTCACACATCGGGTTTGTCAGAATAATAATTGCCTTGCTACAGACCATTTTTAAGACTGAAAATTGGGTACACCAAAGCTTGTCCCAGTCCTGCCAACAATTAAAAGAGATGTCTGGCGTAATGGGGGCATAACATGTGTTTTTGTCTTTTGTTTGTTGCAGAATGAGCTGAATTTGCCCTGGGACAGGATCTATCTGCTGGGTTACAGTCTGGGAGCGCATGTGGCTGGAATTGCAGGGGCCCTCTCCAATCACAAAATCAGCAGGATCACAGGTTAGACGAGCATTAACCAAACAATAAATCAACCATTAACTATTTGAAGTTAAAAGACTTTTATCTACTTCTCTCTCTGGAGATGTGAACCAGGCCAAGCATAAAGCAATACATACATAAATAAAAAAGATTACAATACATAAGCATGACTTGTGTATGACTTTTCTCTTCACTTAAATCTGCTGGCCGTGACTTCTTGTGGTCTGTAAATAGTGAAAAGCAGCCGTGCCACACCACTCAAACATATTAGCTGTTACATTGCAGGACTGCAGTGCGCTTGTGAGTCCAGAGTGAGAGCCAGTTTATCCCACTTTGAAATCTCCCTGTGACCTGCTTAGAATAATGGTATGCTAATGTTTAATGTGATCTGAGATTTCTGGACGTCGGTCCGTTAGGCATTTACAACTAAAACTTGACTTATTGAAAGAGACAGATGAAAGAAACAATTACAAGCTGTTTATGCCACATTCGGGGCTCATAAGACTGTATTTTGTTCTCAGGTTTAGATCCAGCTGGTCCCACCTTTGAGCATGCAGATGACCAGAGCACGCTGTCCAGAGACGATGCCCTGTTTGTGGATGTGCTTCACACCAACACTAGAGGCTCTCCAGGGCGTAGCATTGGCATCCAGAGGCCCCTGGGTCACATTGATATTTACCCAAATGGAGGAGCCTTCCAACCAGGCTGTGACATCCAGAACACCCTGCTGGGAATCGCATCGGCTGGGATCAAGGGACTTCACAGTACGTACCTTTACCAAACAGTTTATAGCTCAGGTACTCACTAGAAATGAGGTCTCGAAGACAAAACATCCAACTTAGACGTATATAAACTAAAAACACTAACCTTTCATATACTAGTCAGAGATTTTGTACTTAATTCTTGCTTTTTTATAGATTTTAGACTGCTTCCTTATTATGCTAAAACTAGAGATTTTATTGTATGTTATTATACTTAGTAAAGAGTTTAGAATAGAGAGTTCATTTATCTTATCTTATCCTGTGCTGTGTTCCTTTACCTTGCTCATTCCTACTGTTCTGTAATCTTAATTATCAGTGTATTTTTCACCTTTACAATAACTACAGTACCTTTGCCTCTCTCTCTCTCTGCAGACGTGGACCAGCTTGTCAAGTGTTCCCACGAGCGCTCTATCCACCTCTTCATCGACTCTCTGGTCAACCTGAACCAGCAGAGCCTGGCGTTCCGCTGTTCCTCCAAAGATGCCTTCAACAGAGGCCTGTGTCTAAGCTGCCGGAAGAACCGCTGCAACAACCTGGGCTACAACATCAATAAGATCCGATCAACACGAAGCACAAAAATGTATCTGAAGACAAGAGACATGATGCCCTACAAAGGTATTGCCCATGAAAGTGAAAAAATGTAAAATGTATGTACCGACTGGAGTCTGGCTGTGTGTATATAGTAGATAAACGCACTGATTTGGAATAGGCGCTAAACAGACATTGAGTGAGCGGCACACTCCGCAGAGGTCAGGGGTATTTTGAGTGCTTATGTAATGTGACACCAATGCATGGAGTATGTACGCAGTGGAAAAAGTCTATTTGTGCAAGATGGAGACAGTCCAAATCAGAGAACAATTGAAGATTACCACAGGCATAAAGTGTGATATTATTTGTTTTTGTTTTTCCGTTTTAAGAAAGAAAACTCCATGTCCATATGTCGAGAACCATTTGTTACGTAAAGATTTCTTGGGATGAAAGAATGCAGAAATGTGCTAGAGAAAGTGTGCGTGCAGACAGACAGCAGGCGCAGCTGTTCCAATGCAATAACCCTTTTCTTTCTCCTCTCTCCTCCAGTCTTCCACTACCAGGTCAAAGTTCACTTCTTCAGCAAAGACGAACTTAGCTTCACAGAACAGCCTCTAAAGATTTCACTGTACGGCACGCACGGAGAGAAGGAAGACATCGCGTTTGTGCTGTAAGTGCGTCATTCTTGTCTTCAGAGCTTGAGATGAAGTGTTTAAGAGTTGCTGATGGATGTTGGCTGAAACTGGGAAATCAAATAGGTCTGATTAGTGGGCTTATATTTGAGGGTCTCACAATTACTTTAAATATTTTCAATTGAAGCTCTGGTTAGATCCGCCCATTAGATCGCACCCTCCTCCCTCCTGTCTAAGACCCCCCTGAGTGCTGACTTAGCTCCTGGTCTGACCTGTGTGCCCTTCTCGCCCCCTTTAGCCCAGTCCTAAACTGGAACTCCACTCAATCCTTTCTCCTCACAACGGACACGGACATCGGAGAGCTGATGATAGTCAAACTGCGCTGGGAGAAGGACGCCATCCTCAGCTGGTCGGACTGGTGGGGCAGCAGCAAGTTCCACATACGCAAACTACGAATCAAATCCGGAGAGAGACAGTCAAAGTAAGAGAGTGTGTAGGGGTGTGTGCCGTATTGGCTGAAACATATTTATTCATTCTTTTTTGAAGCATTATGAAAACAATATTCAGACAATGATGTGGCAAATCTTCACAACTGTACTAAAACATGCCTCTGAAGGAGGTGATTGAGGTTCAAGAGGTGCAGGAAACATATAACTAATAAATGTAAAGTGCATTGGGTTCGTGCATTTTTGAAAAAAAGCTTTAATGCCATTTCTGATTAAAGTTGGGGTACCTCATTTTCAAACGTCAATGGAGCACCTCCAGACCTTAGTACGAAATGTCATTTGTACTATGGTGTGGTACGACCAGGCTAAGTCTGTTGTGGACTTTATGATATTTCACGTTTGCAAGATACTCCCTATCGGGACAAACCCTTGGTAGAAGTAGATCCCATCCTTTGATCAATGTGTACAATGTGGGGGGCAGAAACTTAAAAGTGATCTCACCACATATATTTTTCTTCCACAGAGTGATCTTCAGCTCAAAAGATGGCGAGTTCGCTTACCTCACTCGGGGAGGAGAGGATGCTGTTTTTGTCAAGTCAAAGGAAGACAACCTCAGCCGCAAAGAAAAGCTGTAAGTGCCATACATAGATCACATATTTATGGAAGCAACTCTCAGTTCAACAACTAAAATCCTTTTCTTCTTCCAGGTTGCATAAACTGAAAACAGAAGGCAGTCTGTTTGGGAAAGACGCCTCATAAATCTGCACTCAAAAAAATTCCGCCGCACATCACTCACCGTGACCAAAGATGGAGCAAACATTTTGGGACACGCAACTGTTTTTTGCATCGCTGCCATTCAACGAAACCAAGACAACCTCACCCATTACCAGCAATAACAGATAAAAACTCGCTACTGAGACAGACAACCGTTATATCTAGTGAGGATGTACTTCTACTAATCATGTTCATATAGCTTTTTTGCATTATATTTGTTATTGTTATTTTTTTTTTTTTAGTGGTGTTTATATATTTCTGCTGTGGCCTGTGTGAACTTGGAATTATTGCTGTAATCAGAGTGACAGGCCCGATTTTGGCACATCTTTTCTTGAATATTATTTGATTGTCTATACCTTCTGACCATGAATTGCCAACAATCAACAGGGACCAAAGAAGTATTAACGATCTACTGATGAGTGATTTTTGATATGGTTCTTTGTAAATAGAATCAGTACTTTATGTTGTCGATGTTAAGCTGTGATCTTATCCTTTTGAGTTGTGCCACTGGCCACTTTACAAGGCTCTCCTACACATCTATACGTGCATGTGGTCCAGAGAATTGTTTTGTTGCTGCAGTCCCTTTGAAACTTTTCCAGTCGTGACTTTCATTCACAATTTGGTCAAAAATGTATCTATTTTTGTTACAGATATTGCATGATCCAACTTTACTTAAAATAAACTGTCTCTGTTAATACGTAATGGACTGGCCTGCCTTAAGCCATGATGCATCTCCAGAAACTTGTATTTATTAAATGTACAGAACAAATCTATATTTGTATATTAAGCTGTAATATATTTTGTGAAATGTATTTGTTTTATAAATGCACAAAACTAAAGAGAAAGTGATCACATTGGTCTCAACAATGTCAGCTGCGCATTCATTCTTCTGGACTGAAATGCACTGTTCAAATAGAGGGTCCATGATGGATTAATAAACAGATCAACGAGAATCCAATGACTGCTCAAGTTACTATTAGCAATCTCAAACGGCACTCGTAAACGTCGCTAAAACTCCACAACGGCAAAGAGCCAGCAGACACGGAAATGATGTGAGTGGATGATAGAAGATCCTTCCAACGATCATTTAAGCAGCAGAGGAGGCAAGAGTTCTAGGTTTTAGACCTCAAGTAAAAGTAAAGAAACATGCATAAAAGGATTGAAGTAATTAAAAAAAGCTTTGTAATGAACTGTGTTCAGTTCCGCGCTCTCAAAACAGTTTAGTTCTACCAATTGTTTTCACGTGCATGTATTTTTAGCCTCTGTCTCAACTTTTTCAGACAGAAAAAACAGGACCACCCTCACTCTCAGCCCATCCCTCTTTAAGTAGATGACGACAGTATGTTGTGGTCTGGTTTGCTCACAAATTATGTACTTTTGCAAGACTCCCTGAACATTTGTTCATAAGCCAAAAGTCAAAAGTAGCTCAACAATAGATGGATAATGTGCGGTATATTTGTATTTAGAGACCCGCAGACTGCTTCAGAGATGCTTAATACTGGATATGTTGAACACTTGAACAATATGAAAATAAACAAAACACGTGGCAGTTGAATGCAGCTGACATCCTGCATTGAATTTAGAAGCATGGCTAACCGCAATGAATCAATTCTAAACACTTCAAACCTGTAAATCAGCCATTTTGATATTGGACAGAGCTTCTCCTGAAGCTTTGAAGTTAAAATGTGTCATCATGGGTAAAGTAACTGATGTAAAAATGTAAGGAGTAGACAGTACAGATATGTGGGTTTAAAAGTAAGAAGTTTGAGTCGTCCTAAAGATAAATAGTGCAGATATAGAAAATAACATGCTTAAGTAAACATAGGTACACACCACCCCTGGTTAACAGAGGGCAAGGGCTCATAAATATATTTCTAAAACTCACTTTTTTTATATAATGTTGTCGGCCAGCTGCCTTTTCCTGCCATCTCAGAGTGAATGCACATATTTTAGAGGACCACCACAAACTCACCACAATAATCTTGTTTACAAAGTCACACAAACCCATACGTTTGATTTATATCATGTGAAGAGGATTACAACTCATTTGTGTTTCACTAATGATTGAAAACCATTTGCGTAATAACTCTTTCAGCATGTGGACCAACACCAAAAAAACAGCTTCAATATCAGCAGAAAAAACAGAATAAACTGTATTTGTGATGTATAGAAATATATATCCTTGTTAAAGCTGCTTATAGATGTGGGCTGGAATAGGATAGATGAAAACAGCAAGACTCCATCCTAACAAAGGGTATATGTTGGCATTGTGCAGGGGTATCCAACCTATAGCTAGGGGCCACCAGGAGCTCACCAGTCCCTTTCAAGTAGCTCCCCAAAGGATTGAGAACTGAACACATGATCCTGAATGAATACATATTGAGTCGTTACATATCTATTAGTATCTTTATCTATAAGCAGTTATAGTATACAGCAAAATATACAGTTTTACAGTATTATAGTATATTTACATGTGTTTTCCATGCGTGTTTGCTCTTGTCATAATTCTTACATAGATTTTTATTAAGACTGCAAAAGAGAAGTAGCTCTCTGCCTCTTCTATAGGTCTGTTGTAATGGTTCTAAAAAGAGTAAATGCAGAGTGACTTGAATGTCTTAGCCTACAGTAAAGGGGAGTGGTGGAGGTGTGTCTCTCTCTCTCTCTCTCTCTCTTGACCGAACAGAGCTTCTCGTGACTCTGAAAATCACCAAAAACACAAACAGTGATGTTCAGCGAAAGTGTGTCATGGTTCTCAGAAGACCTCCTCCAGATGTCGTGCAGAGGGGGCTGCTGCTGCTGCTGCTGCTGTGCCGTGGGGCTGTGTGCCAGGACTAAAGCTGGCAACGTCATGTTAGCTATACATGTCACGGGTTTGCAAAGTACAGACAGTAGAACAAGTACAGACAGTGTAGGATATGCAATTAGTGCTGTCTCCATGTGATGAGAGAAATGCTTTTTCTCCAATCTATGTCGGAGTGTGGGTTCATCACAGCATCATGTTGATTCTTCATTGCACAACAGTTCAGTCCCTGTTTGAAGAGGTGACTGCTGCAGACACACACAGTATTGGTGCAATTGTACTTATTCAAAAAGTGTTGCTCAAAAACAACAGCAGGGACACAAACCTAGCTCCTTGTTTCTGTGAACACCATACTCCTTTGGCCATAATCTACACTTCTACAGCATGCTTTAAAAAGGATGTTTTCCCTTTTGCCCTCGTCCACTGGGCTTTTTGGATTTCTTCCTGTCGAAGGAGGGTCTATGAGGCCTCGCTTCTCAGCAAGAATGTCCTGGGTTCGAATGCCGGTCGGAACAGGGGCTTTCTGAGTGGAGTTTGCATGTTCTCCCCGTGTTCGCGTAGGTTTCCTCCAGGTGCTCCGGTTTCCTCTACTACTAAAAACATGCACAATAGGATGAATGTAATGAGAGAATGAGAAATCTGAATTCTGAACAATGGCCCTATAGGTGACCTTGACCTGTAAAATGTGCTATATAAATAAACCTTAATTACTTACTTATCTAATCTGCTATTTCCAAATCAATAATTGTATTAGGTCCCTCTAAATGACTGTGGTTGAGATTTTGAGCTTGATTTGATTTCATACGACATCATCTCTCCTCTGGGTCATGGAGCTGGTGGAGGTTTAGAGCCTCAGCGTCACCTCTCCTCTGGGTCCCGTGTCGTCCCCTGTTGCTGCAGATGGCTCTTTGCTCCTGCTGCAGACGGTTCCTCGGATGGTGCTTCCTCAGCTGGTTTTGTCTACACTCAGACTTGTATTTCCGTGTAATTTTTTTCTTAAAGGTACACTGTGTAGTTTTTACTCCCATCTAACGTTGAGATCCCAACTCCCGCTCAAACTCCTTCTTAATGTTTTAAAGGTATACAAGAGGATTTTCTACTTCCGGGTGGATCATCAACACTATTGGTCCTCCCAAATGTCAATCATTCTGTTTATACGTCCTTGTCCTATAAGAGCAGAGAGTTTTGTTCAAAAAGTAGAAAGGGCGGTTCTTTCCTAAAATATGGGAAAATCCTCCTTTATACCTTTAAGTAAGTAAGTCATGTTTATTTATATAGCACATTTTACAGACCAAGGTCACCCAAAACGCTTTACAATGTTCAGAGTTCAGATATTGTTCCAATCATTCCACACACGGAGATGACGGAAGAAAGTCGCCGAACACACTGGACCATCAGCTCCAATCAACACCATCCATTCACTCTCTCATTTACATTCATACCTATTGTGCATGGTTTTAGTGGTAGGAAAAACCGGAGCACCCGGAGGAAACCTACGCAGACACGGGGAGAACATGCAAACTCCACTTCGAACCCAGGACCTTCTTGCTGAGAAGCGAGAGTGTCCTTTTTGTCCCTTATCAACCACTATATTTCAAGATGGAGCATTGACACAGAGAGTCCTCCAGCCTCATGGACATTCATAAGTCAAATTCTAAGTCTATGAAGAAAAAAAAAATCACAAACATGGTGGAACTAAACATGCTTAAAAAGGTCATATTTTTTCATTTGGAGCAACTGTAAAAAGTTACTCAAAGCACCTTTAACTTTTTTAATTTGATATGTGTGTGCATATAGGCATGTGTTTTTTTCAATCGACTATGAAACATATTCTTTGATGAAAAGCGATGGGATTAATGTGATAATAATAATAATAATAATAATAAACGTAAAGAAGATGACTCAGCACTTTTACAATGAGATCACCCCACTACAAACGTGTCTCTGTAAGTGTAGTATTATCACTCTATATAATATAGTGACATTGTGCACAGTGTAGTCTAATCATTCACCTTCTCTCCCTCACCTCCCTCCCTCCCTCCCTCCCTCCCTCCCTCCCGCGTCCCCAGGGGTCGCAGCCAATGGTGCTATTTAAGACTGGGCCGGTTCAAGGTGCTTCTCAGATCCGCCCTGCTCTGGGAGGACGCTCGGAAACACGCGCGACTGGAAGTTTACTCTGCCACGTGATTCTTTTGACGCCGAGAGACTTTTTGCTTGTTCGGATATTTGCATAAAGAGATGAAAGCGTGGCAGGACCGATGTCTTCACTTGTTGGTCTTGAGCGCAGCTGTGCACTATGTGACGTCCCTGGAAGAAGAGCTCACCGACTCTATTTTTGGTAAGTTGTCAGTTCAGCGATTTGATCATTTATGTCCTCACGACTTATGTGTGTCTCTCTCCAGACTAACATTGAAATCTATAAGAGATGTGTTTATTTCACGTGGTGCTTGTGTGTGCATGGTCTTTGTCAGCTCCCTGCATGTTCACTGCAGGGGCCACAGTAGTATATGGTTTAAATTAAGGTCAGCTCACAGCCTTCTCCAATGTCAATTAAGCCGCACCTTGCTGCTCTACATGGTGTGCTGCAGAGTACGGAAGGGGCCCCTGCTCTGTGCCTAGAATACAAGTGCAGCAGTGAGTTTCAAGTCCAATTCAGAAAAGATTACATTATTCCTGTGGTCTGCATCCTTCTAACGCGCTTTCCTGTGATCCCCACCCCCACCGTGCTGTCAGCTGACTCAGGCTGCTCTGAAGTTGTGCAGATTATTGTGGCTGATGTGGCAAGAACAAAGCCAGCAAAACTATTGGAGCTTTCTATAGAGCTCAGTCTGTGAACCCCTATAACCCCCACGCTGATCTTGTCTAAGGTGGAAGCCCATTTACTGAGGGGCCTCCAGGGGCCACCGGTTATTGGAACAGTCACTCAATGACTAGTCAGGCGTCAGACCTCCTAACCTCAACTGCAAACTCTGAAATCTAATTTGTGTCTGTGTACTTTGTCAAACAGGTAATTTTCTGGACCCTGTCAAGGATTTGTTTGAGCACGAAGATGAGCTCAACGGGAGTCTGGTCAAGTTTTCTCTGCGTAATCCATCCCATCCCGATGACGATCTGTGCTACATCACTGCTGGAAATGCACAGTCGCTCTCAGCATGTGCCTTCAACAGTTCTGCTAAAACATTCTTAGTCATCCACGGCTGGACGGTGAGCACATGAATCTGTCCAAACCTGCCTCCCACTGTCTTGGTTTACTCTGCATCATTAACTACTGTGGGAAACATTCTCACCAACAGCATGTGACAGCAGATGGTTACTTTATTCATTTTTATACAAACACTTTATTTTAAAAAGTCATCTTTGAGTTTATAACACTACTCCCTCATCAGTCACAGACCAGAAGTTGTGTTTAGATACATCCGCGCTGATATCAGGAACTTCTGCAGCTCTGCTCCTATGATGTCATTGAACCACTTTGACATGTCATTCATTCATTCATTCATTTTCAACCCCTTCATTAGTCCATTTCTGGGACGGGGGGTTGCAATGAGAGCTGCCACCCAATGCTCATAGCCCCAGTCCCTCGCTGATCCTCCTGCACGTGGTGGGTCCATGATGCAGTCTTGTTCTTTCAGCAGGGGCTTCAGGCAGCATGGGGTCAAGTGCTTTGCCCAAGGACACATCAACAGTAGACATTTGTGGGAGCAGTTGGAGTACCACTGAGCTACTGTTGCCCCTCACTTTGACATGTAGGGGTGGAATTGGCAAGAATTGTACGATTTGAAAGTATTGCGTTATTTGAGACACGATTCATGATTATTGTGATTCTTAACATCGAGTCATGTCCCTCATATGATTCAAAGACATTATGAAAATGAGGAAAATAAGACTGCTCAACTCAAATGTCACATCTCTTAAGGTCTGTACATTAACTCTAGTGTAAACACTTTGGAGGGTGGTGCAGAAACATTGGGCCTCATTCACGAACGGTTCTTAGGAACAGATTTGTACGTAAATCCTACTTACGCGGTTTTTACGAAGAAAGTGGCATTCACGAATATTTGTCGTAACCAGAATTTCTCTTGGGCAAGTACAAATCCTACGAGTCCTCAGGAGCACTCGTACGCATTCGGTGCCGACATGTTCACAGCCGGGGTTGTCCTCTTTGGTGAAGTTTAATAAAAATACAACATTCCAGTGATATGTCCGTCATATCAATGTATGTATTTATTTATTTGTAGTAATCTTTATTTATATACCGCCTTTTTCACTGAAGATCTGGCCTACTTTTTAATTCATTTTGAAATGAAATGTGCCAACGCTTTATCAAATACATTGGAAATCTTGCCGTGTATTAGTGACCCTTCCTATTTATAGGGGGCATTTCTTTATCCACGGGCCACAGAACAACGGCATATATACTGCTGCTGCAGGAGGTTACTGGGTCCGCGCTGAGTCTCTGCGCTGGTCTCTCCTATGGATCTATACGGGTCTGCACTGGTCTCTCCCATATACGGGTCTGCACTGGTCTCTCCCATGGATCTAGACGGGTCTGCACTGGTCTCTCCCATATACGGGTCTGCACTGGTCTCTCTCCATACGGGTCCGCGCTGGTCTCTCAAGTCTGGTCTATGCGGTCTATCTTCGGTCCGCGCTGGTCTCTGCGCACCGGTCTCTCCAGTCAGGTCACTACAGTCTATGCGGTCTCTCCAGTCCGCGCTGGTTTCTGTGTGCTGGTCACTCCAGTCTCTCCTCGGGTCTGCATTGGTCTCAGCGCTGGTCCGCGCTGGATGTCCTCCCAGGGTCCGAATTATTTTGAGATTAATCTCAAAACATTTTGAGATTCATCTTTAAAATAATACATAATATATTTTTAAATTAAGCTCATAACATTTTGAGATTAATCTCATCATATTCTTAGATTCATCTAGTTCGAAGCTAGTTCGACTTTATTATCATAATATTTCGACTTTTAAGTCAACATTTTATAACTTTATTCTCAGTCTGGTAAAAGAAGAAAAAGGGTGACTCTTTTGCTCTGTGTAACTCTTTGCTTTAGGCCTGTTAGGCCGTCTGCACACGGCCCTGCAGTCCCTTATATGGGCATTAGTGGGCGGTTACTTATGCTAAGTACCTATGCTAATGAAGCACCTGGCCCGCGCGCTGTACTTACGAGGAAATGGGATTCATCAATCTGAGAGAACAGCTGCGAACAATTCAGCGGCTTACGAGTGCGTTGATGAATCCCACGTGGGGACTTCTTAGAAATCTACTTAAGGACGACTTGAGAAGAAAGTTGAGTAGTTTCTTACGAAGTTATTCGTGAATGAGGCCCATTATCCTTGAACTTTCAGGACACATGACCTTATTACAGGACACAACGTAATTATTATCTGAATAGGCAATCTCTCACATATAAGTTACATTTTTCGAAAGACAATTGACCAATAATAACAGACATGATAGAGAAACATAAACCTCAGATGTAAACTCAGGAAAAACATGAAAGTCAAACCGATACATATTTAATTATAAATTGCAATACTTTGTTCTACTGTATCAATTTAATTACATGCGCAAAATAGAAATGAATCGATTTTTGTTCCCCCACCACTAGTGACATCACACTCACACAGTTCACAATCACAGTTTTCTGCCTATTAAAACAAAAGTATTGCCCATCGCAATTGCTGTTTTCTTTCTTTCATCAGGTCAGTGGCATGTTCGAAAGCTGGGTGTCAAAACTGGTGACTGCCCTTTTTGAGAGACAGCAGAGCGCTAACGTCATTGTGGTGGACTGGCTCAACTCGGCCCAGAACCACTATGTTGTGGCAGCTCAAAAAACCAAAGCGGTGGGACAGGAGATCGCACACTTCATCGACTGGATTGAGGTCCGCAAATACCTCTCCACCAACTAAGAAATCTGTGGTAATGTTGAAAGCACTGTGTATTTATGCTCTGCTGTTTGTGAATACTAGGAAGTCACCAACATGCCCCTGGACAACCTGCACCTGATTGGGTACAGTCTTGGCGCTCATGTGGCTGGGTTTGCTGGAAGTCATGCTAACAATAAAGTGGGGCGTATTACTGGTAAGAAGTTCAATAAATGAGTTGGCGTGATGAGGTGTAGGTCTGATGTGTGTTTGTGCTCAGGTCTGGACCCGGCAGGACCAGACTTCGAGGGCGAGCACGCACACAGACGCCTTTCTCCGGACGACGCGCACTTTGTGGACGTTCTGCACACGTTCACGCGAGGTTCTCTTGGGCTCAGCATTGGCATCCAGCAACCTGTGGGCCATGTGGACATCTACCCCAACGGAGGCAGCTTTCAGCCGGGCTGCAACCTCAGAGGGGCCCTGGAGAAGATCGCAAACTTTGGCTTATTCGGTTAGTCGCTGGAAGTGGAAGTGGAGCATCAAATTTAAATGAATGAATGTAGCAATGGGTTTATGAAAAAATGTCTAAGAACAAAAACAGTATCTTTATGTTGGTATTTAGACAAGAGCTTGAGAATATTTACTTTGGCATTTTATACTTGAGAATGTGAAATAATTTGAAGTGAAAAAATAATTTGGAGGCAATACTTCAAAACATCTTCAGAACACCCAAGAATAGATTTTCATCGTCATGAGTCTGACAATTTACACCAGTAGTGTAATATGTTCGGAATTACGTTGCATGCTGTTATGAATAAACTGGAATTCTATTTACAAACACCGATGACACATATCGACTTTTCACTGCAGGAAGGATATGAAGGAGTAGAATAGAATCTAGCGTGGTGTGAATTGAACGGTAATTGAATGTTGTCAGATGTACGAGCTTGGAGTAAATTGGGGGTTATTCCTTCACCATTGCAAACTCAGACTAAACTAATGTGTTTGTTTTCAGCAATAAGTGACGCAGTGAAGTGCGAACACGAGCGCTCCATCCAACTGTTCATCGACTCCCTGCTGAACCAGCAGCAGGCGGCTCGCGCCTACAGATGCAGCAGTAACGACGCCTTTAACCGAGGCATGTGTCTCAACTGTCGCAAAAGTCGCTGTAACAAGGTGGGCTACAACACCGCAATGGTCCGCAGACCCAGGAACGTGCAGATGTACACTATGACCAGGTCCTCCATGCCCTTTAGAGGTCAGTTTGACTGGATAAAAGTCAATGACGTTCTATCAATGTATTAAAGAGCCAGAGTTTTCGTAATGTATTCTTATACTTTCAGTGTATCATTACCAACTGAAGGTCCATTTCTCAAGTAAAGTGAACACCACTGAGATGGAGTCGTCACTCACCGTCTCGCTCTTTGGAACCAAAGGAGAGGCCGAAAACCTTGAGCTCAAACTGTGAGTTGATTCCTTATAAATGAATCCATATATTAGGAAGTAAGGCTCATAGCATGGTCAAAACATGCACTCATTATTTCAGATTCAGATTCAATTTATTTGCCATTTGCAGTAAAAACACCACATTGGAATACATTAGCAAAAGTCTCCAGTGTGCACAGACAAATACAGACATAAAACAACCATTAAAAGACAAAAATAAAACAAATTAAACGGTAAACAAATGTCACTGTGAAATCGATCGACTAAAACAGTTTCAAAACTAGTGCAAATCATTAAAGTGCCCTGTTCACACTGATAACAGCTTGTGGATAAAAACTGTTAGCGTAACGAGATATCTTCTGCCAGAGGGAAGAAGCTGGATGATATTTTAAGATGATTTAAATTCAGATGACTGTCATGTTATACTAACAATATGGTATATTAGTCCTCTGTGTATTAGTTCTACAGCTGTATCTTACCTTGTTTGACAGTAGAGAGCAGACCCTAAGACTCTGCCTTTTTGATAATGTTGAAGAAAGAAACAGCTCAGGGATAATTTAAAGTTCCCTTGGAACTTTGGGCTATGACCTTGATGTCATGGACTAGTTGAAGTCGACAGGACTAGTATGCACATAAAGTTGACTTTGAAAAGTATCAAACCCTATGGTGTACGGAGTGAATGAATAATGCCATGTGGAGCAGTCTTGAGTGTCCAAAAAATGCTATTCAACTTAAATTCAATTCAATTACATTTTTCTACAGCCCTAATTCCCAACAGAAATGGTCTTGGAGGACTTTACACAGTTGTCAATTGGCCAACAACAGATCAGAAAATCAGGCAGCTACCTTTTTGAAGAAAGGGAATTTCCCTAGATTTAGCACTTGAATTTTACAATAAATATTTAGCATGTTTAGCAACTTGATTTAACATTGGGCTGTATAATAGACCTTTAAAAGTAACTTTATAATGCAAACAGTAAGTTAACTGTGCTCAACTGTGGGTTACTATGGTGACGTCTGAGGTGGAGCCTGTAATTATGCAGATTGAACAGTATGCATCAATGGAATCCTCACTGACCATGGTATAATTAAATTAAATATACACTTCTTGCTCGTCAGAAAGGAGAAAATCTCCTCAAATCGGACACATTCTTTCCTGCTGGTGACGGAGCAGGACATTGGCGATCTGCTGATGCTGAAGTTTAAGTGGGAAGAGACAAACGGTTGGTCGGCTTCAAACATGCTGAAGATGGTCTCGTCGTGGTGGTCCGGGGACAACGAGGCCAACAACATGGACGTCCACCGGATCCGTATCAGATCGGGAGAGACCCAGCAAAAGTAAGAAATTGTCCTTCAAGATGAGCTCCATGAGTAGGCCCCCAATGCACACTCTGATCATGTGTTTTGTTCCCAGGTTGGTCTTCTGTCTGAAAGATCCAGGATCTCACAACTTAAACCAAGAACTGACATTTGTAAAGTGTCAAGATGCCTGGAAGAAGGCAAAGAGGTCAGAAGGAAATAGGACTTGAATCTTACATAGACTTAAAGATACTGAGTGGTTTTACGGCTCCGTCAGAGCTGTAATTACTACAGAATGAATGGTTTTGAAAAAGTCCAATCAAACAACATATTATGTTACATCTTGTCTCTATGATGAACTAGTTTGTAGTTATTCAAATAGTTGTATCATAGTATTTTTTGAACCTTAAACATGCTGAGACGAGGTTTCATGAGATAATTCTATAATGACCAAAGTGTTCATACAGTATTTTTAATCACACAACCCCAAAGTGTAGCAGGTCAGATCTGAACATGTTCAGGGGCATCACTTCAGCTTTGCTTTGTTTGGATCCCCTTTTGAGATCTAAACAAATATTTGATTAAACAAAGCATTATTTGGGAGACTAATTGGCCTCTGAAGTAATCATTAATCACAGCTTTATATAGGAATACAATTACATTTAAATTAAATGAAATATATTTTTATATATCCATCCATCAGGATAGATATATGGATGGATGGATGGATATTTTTATATAGCCCTAAATCTCAACAGCCGTTGTCTCAGAGGACTTAACAAAGTTGTTGACTCCTCAACAACAGATCAGAATATCAAACAGTTGGAACACAGGAAAAACAATAATAACAAACACATCATTTACATTTATTGTATATTTTCTGAAGCCTTTTGACTAAAACTGACATTTCTTCTGCCTCTAGATTTCATCTGGATAGTCTCACAGCCCGAAGCTAATACAAGAACTGCATTGTGCCAGTGCTTATTATATGTATATGTGTATATATACAGTATGTATATATGTGTGTGTATACCATTGTAAATATGTAATATTTAATACCACTCCTGTAAATATTGTGTAAAGTTTATCTCTTTTTATAAAAGCAGTGTTGATATGTAACTATGTAAGTATTGGATTGTACCAGTGATAAGAATATATACTGTCTACTATGTTCTGGAGGTATATCTGAAATTTAGCAGCATAATACAGCTCTCTGTTCGTGGACTGTTCGTGAAGATGACAAAGTCTGGGATCGTGTCTTAAATTCCGACAGAAGACATGTTTTATTGTCGATGGTAGAGACAGCACGAACAAAGCACAGGAACACAGAATGCAAGTGTATTATACAGAGCGGAGGCATGGAGACCTCTAATCAGCAGCTGCCACGGTGCCATGTAGCTTGGCCTTCAGATAGACAAAACAAGGGAAAAGTACTGGCTTCTGCACATTGATAGAATGATGAGTTTAACTTTAACAAAAGTTGCTTCAAAGTGTTATGAAATCTCACATTCCCCCCTCTGGTCACACATTCTTGTGTGACCATCAGGATCGATAAACAGCAACATAACATCATACCTCAATACTTAAACTCGGTACTTCACTCGGTACCTCAAAAAACTCAGAACTCTGAATACTTCGAAAACTCATAAAACATTTTCAGATCTTTCATAAAACTTGTCAACAATCTTCAGTAAAATACCAAACTTCATCAGTCGATGGTTCCAGATATTGCTTTGAAAACAGTCTCTCCCACTTCTCCGTGTTGGTTTCTTCAGGCTGCATTTGTGTCGAGCCATGAATTCTTCTGTGACGTGTTATTTCAATCACACGTTTCAGCTTCAGTGTCCAGATTCAGAAATCCAATTCAGTCCAAATTATGTCCAAATTCAGAAATCCAATTGTTCCAAATTATGTCCAAATTGTGTTATCCAATTGCTCCAAATTATGTCCATGCAAAAGAGGACGATGGTATTGTCCATGTCTCAGCAGCTCACAGCCTGACTAGAATCAGGGGCTGTGCAGATTGTCCAAGTGTGCTGGTCCAGACGCATGGTTTCTCTTGAGGTTTCTCAGTTTTGGCTTAAAAAAAAAACAAATTTTTGTGTAAAAAAAAGTAGTCTTCTGTTCTCTAGATGTTACAGACAAGGCCCGCATCCTTCCACCACCTGAAGAAGATGACATGTCTGGGATCGTGTCTTAAATTCCGACAGAAGACATGTTTTATTGTCGATGGTAGAGACAGCACGAACAACACGAACACAGAATGCAAGTGTATTATACAGAGCGGAGGCATGGAGACCTCCAATCAGCAGCTGCCACAGTGCCATGTAGCTTGGCCTTCACATAGACAAAACAAGGGAAAAGTACAGGCTTCTGCACATTGATAGAATGATGAGTTTAACTTTAACAAAAGTTGCTTAAAAGTGTTATGAAATCTCACATCTGGATAACACTTATTGCATGTTTGAACAAACCAAATCGAATGTTTAAACAAACTTAGGCTGAGTTTACACGGAGACAATGTGGCAGTAAAACGGTATAGTTGGATGTCGGTTGCTACCAACCGTTCATACGAAGACTGTGTTCCAGGGGGGTAAAAACGTAAAGCCTAGTTTATACTCGCGCGGCGCGGAGCTTACGGAGGTGACGTGACGTCACTTGCGCAACGCGTTGGTCACCGCAAGGCCCTTACGTCGCCTGCCGCGCAGCATCGAAATTTTCTAACTACGTAAGGGTCGCCGCAAGGAATCTCCGCTGTGATTGGAAGGAAGCATGAAACGTCTGCGCAGCGTCTCAGTATAAACAGGGCCTCAAGAGAGTTAACTGCTATGGCCCTGTTTATACTGAGACGCTGCGCAGACGTTTCCAGGCTATTAACAGAAACGACCTGGCGTCTAATGCAAATTTCTCGGCGTTCACATGAGGTTGAAAAACGATGTAGTTCTAGCGCCCGGCCAGTAGTGGGCAGAGAAACTTTACAACACTCACACGACCCCCAGCCCCGTGCCCAGCCCCCCTCTCGGCAGTGTACTCACTTCCTGTGCCAGACCCTCAGAACGCACCAACATCTTTCCGCATTTTAACAGCATCTGTGAAAATGGGAACTGAACCTAGAGCTTCGTGTAGGAGTAGAATTATCCTCTGTGCCGCGCTGGAAGCCCACGTAGCTAGTTTGTGTGCGCTGCACCATTTTTGTTGATGTTTGTTCTCCGCTACTGCGCATGTCCAAATTTACGTGCGGGGAGCAGCGCGGAGGTGGGGGTCAGAGCAGAGGGGGATTTCACACCTTTTCCCCTCTCGTGGGTGTGAAAGAGCCCCCGCTGTGCAGCGTATCTGAGTTGTCCCACTCTGCAGGCTGGATCTGAACACTTACGTTTTCACCCCCCTGGAACACAGTCTTCGTATGAACGGTTGGTAGCAACCGACATCCAACTATACCGTTTTACTGCCACACTGTCTCCGTGTAAACTCAGCCTATATTTCTAGACTCTAGCAACTTTTACGGGCATCGCGCTGGCACACATCGCGGTGAATCAGCGAGCAAACCAGCTGGATTAACCCCTAAGCGAGTTGTAAACTCTCACTGCTCATGCTGGAGGCGTACTCGTATATGAGCCTCTCTTTACCGGGGATTAATGACAAAACCTAAAACAAGAAACGCAGCTTCAATGGAGGGTGATTTGGAAACTATTAAAACAACACTGAATGCATTGGCCGGTGAAATGCAGAAAATATCAGCACAACAACAAACAATAATGGACCTGGCACGGGAAGTCAGAGATCTAAGGATCCTAAATGATGAAAAGGATAAGAAAATTATGGTTTTGGAAAACCGCGTCGCGGACCTGGAGCAATATACTCGCCTAAACGACCTAATTATATCTGGCCTGGTGGTAAAGCCGCGTTCCTATGCCAAAGCCGCTGCGGCAGGTGGAGGAGGAGAGCTGAGCGCAGAGGAGCAGGACACGGTTGAGCAACAAGTGATTAAATTCATGGAAAGTCATGGGATAACGCTCAATAGCGAGGACATTGAAGCCTGTCACCCGTTGCCACATAAAAATAAGTTACTCAAACCAGCAGTAACTCTGCGATTTATAAACAGGAAAAAAAAGAATGCCCTACTCAAGCAAGGAAGACTCCTAAAGGGAACGAACGGATACATAAACGAACACCTAACCAAAAAAAATGCCGACATTGCCAAGCAAGCACGCTTATTACGGAAACAAAGCAAGATTCAAGGGACTTGGACCACCAACTGCAGGGTCTTCATTAAGCTAAATGGAGCTCCGAGTCCGGAGGAGGCGAGAGTTCTCTGGGTGAAGGAGGAACACGAGCTGGATAAGTACAAGTGATAAGGTAAAACACACCTAATAATTCAACATGACAGACACTATCTACAGTGACTCTTCCTCATCCGACAATGTGGACATAAGCTTCACTCAGGAGGCAGAATTAATAGTTACCTAATGTAACTTAAGGAGAGGTGAGCGCAGAGGAGCAGGACACGGTTGAGCAACAAGTGATTAAATTCATGGAAAGTCATGGGATAACGCTCAATAGCGAGGACATTGAAGCCTGTCACCCGTTGCCACATAAAAATAAGTTACTCAAACCAGCAGTAATTAATAGTTACCTAATGTAACTTAAGTTCTACGAATAGGTGCGTAGTCCCTTAGGACTTCGCTAGTGGGATATCACGTGACCCCCAGGTCACACGCCAGAGAGATCAAAATAATTTGCTCCAATCACTAGCGACCCTCCTCTATAAAGGCCCCTGCACAAGGCCGCACCCCCTCTTGAACTCTGCCAAGCCGGGCTGGCCTGATGGGCTCGTAGCTAAGGGACTACGCACCTATTCGTACTTAAGAACTTAAGTTACATTAGGTAACTATTAATTCTACGTCATGGTGCTACGTCCCTTAGGACTTCGCTAGTGGGACACAACGCCGAGGCCGTAGGAACATGTACTCCCTGCAGGCCAGCGAAGAGTGATTGGAGCTCCGCCCGAGCAAGATCCTCACACAGTGAGAGGACTCAGGGCAGAAGAAGCAATTGCGTGTTACAGGGCCACTCCTACCAAGGATACCCCCACGTAACACAGACCGTAGGTCACCCGTAGTCCCAGGATGCCTCTCCCAAGAGCTCCTGACGTGGACTACCTGACTGACCAAAAGCACACATAAATATACCGCACCTGTAGGACGCCTCTCCCAAGAGCTCCTGAACCAGGGCGGAAAGTCAACCGAAGGCCCCCTCAGAGGAGGGACCTAACGGTCTCAACTCAGTCCGCTGCACTCAGCACGGAATGGGCCACCGACCGGTCCGACACATCCAAAGATAAGACCGGACGAAAGAAGAGGACGACGCCCAAGAAGCCGCACGGCAGACGTCCTCGGCCGACGCCCCCCTGAGGAGGGCCGTAGAGGCCGCCATCCCACGTGTGGAATGCGACCTGAAGCCCACCGGGGGGGGGCCAGACCCTGCGCCTGATACGCCCGCCGCACAGCCGTGGCCACCCAGTGCGCCAGCCGCTGAGCCGACAGTGGGGCGCCCCTGTTCTTGGGGCCCAGACACACAAACAGCTGATCACCCAACCTGAATGAAGACGTCATGGCCAGGTAATGCCTAAGCATTCTGACAGGACACAGAAAGTGCCGCCGCTCCTCCTCGGGGGAGGCATGCGGCGGCGGATAGAATGCCCTAATCCTGATGACTCTCGACCTAAAGGCCGACGTGATGACCTTGGGTAGAAAAGCCGGATTGGGCCACAACTCTACCAGTCCGTCCCCCTCTCCAAAGGACAGGCAAGACGCATGGACAGAGAGCGCACACAAGTCGCCAGCCCTCTTAGCAGACGCCAATGCCAGCAAGAGGGCCGTCTTAAAAGCGACACACTCGGGACTCGCCTCCGACACTGGTTCAAAAGGCGGACCCGACAGACCCCTAAGGACCACTC